ACAAACACAAACCTCTTTTGGTCGCTGTATCTGTTTCTTGTTATGACTGTGTTCTTGAATGCAGCATCTTTACATGTAAATACGTTTTTCTTCTTTGTTATGCAGCTGAAATTGTTGTCTTCTGTTTTGTAATAATTTATCAGTTTAGTCTTACCAGCAGTAAAGATAAAATACCAGAGCCAGAGTCCAGTATGTTGCAACAAAACATAGCGCGCGCAAAGATAATTTAAGGCATTTTAATGGCTTATTAATTTATGACCTTTCAAGACGCTATGCGATTCATTCTCAGCTGCAATCACATAGTATACGCGCACATAGTCAAAATACATACCTGCATACAGGCAGGCATCAATGTGAGTGCGCCTCTGGCTGACCATTCCCAATTTGCCACAGAGCGAGGACGAGTTCGAATCGTCGACTGGCGAAGTCGTTTGGGTGAACTCGAAACGTGGTCGAAATGAAGTCTTTTTTAACCGACAAAGGAGGAAGTTATCAGTTCATCGGAATATTTTTTTTTATGTTACCGCATAACTTTGGACCACGTCAATCGAGTTCGATAATTCTTCTTGCATCGGAAAGGTAGTGTGTCAGAGGGGGTCATGATATATATATCAAGAGGTTGCGAGAAAACTGGTTTCTGAGCAAACCTTTTATTATTGAACAATGGTTCCGACTTCGTTTTTTCTCATCGAATCGAAGTCGTTACGACGTCGGTTTGGTGAAGTCGCTTGGGTGAACTCGAAACGACGTCAAATCGAACTCATTTTTTCCAAAGCGAATTAATTAAGGTGATAGCAGGAGTACAAAAACAAAAGTTTACATGTATTTTGTTTTTGCTTTGGCGGCATAAACTGTCAAAATCTGTAAGAGTGTATGTAGAAATTCAAACAAAATTTTTCAATTTGATATCAGAAGCCGTGCGGCGAAACACATACACAAAATCCGCTGAGCTAGTAAAACCACCTTATATAAATTCGCCTTGATTTTTTCCATACAAAATTTGTAAGCTTCTTTATATTTTTTCTTTTTATTCAGATTGAAATGTTTGAACTTTTTAGAAATGTTTGCTGGTTTTTTAAATTGGATTTAAAGTCTGTATGTATGTATATGGTTTTTGTTAAATCTTTTGAGCATCGTTTTTACGGAGCGCCGGCGAACTGTGCTTTTCATCCGACGGCGAGACGTGCGCGAATGCCGCCGGTGAACAAGTTGTTCACCGCGCGTCGTTACGAAGTCGTTTGGCAAATTGGGTTGTGTTGTATAGATCGAAATGTAATGCCCGCATTACATCGCTTTGAATCGGTCTACCATTTTAAATTGCTTCTCACGGCTGGATGTAGTGGTGTTACAGGACTAATTGTAAACAGACTATTTATAACGACGCGGTATTCTATACCCATTTTGCCATTACTTCTTCTCAGTTGATTGCACTGTAGAAAAGCCTCAACCAAACTACAGTGACTCAAACAAGTGACCACGTGTTGTTATTTTTTTGTTTTAGTATTCGCAATATTATTATCCAAGCCTTAACCAAAATCATACACTGAGCAAAAAAATACAATGGCTTTTTCAACCAAGTTATTGTTTGATTTTTTCATGGTCAATACACCGGTTGTATGAAATGTGATTGAAGTTTAACATTTGTATATCTGGCTGTAGCTAAACGTGCAGAGATGCTTGCTGTTGTTTGTTGGCTTCCAGCATTTTAGGGTTCGAATTCGGTCAGAGACGATACGTAATTTCTTGCTTTTTTATTTTCTGCTTTTTATAATTACGAAAAAGCAGCTGTTAAGCGGAGAACACGACGAAGAAGATTTTTTCAAGTTCAAAATTTGAGGGCGAGTTTACAGAACGGCTATAGCTGAGTATGCAGAGATGCTTTCTGTTATTTTATAACTTTCAGTAGGTCCGGGTTCAGATCCCCTCAGAGGCAACGTGTTAAAGGATACAAAAAATTTGGTTTTATATCTCCAAATTATAGAAAAAAACATCCGTGAATTGCAGAACATAAGCGTATTCAAACGAAAAAATTGACAACAAGAAATTTGTTTAATATAAACAAAAGAGTGGTAAATTACCAAATAAATAGTTTTTGGAAGCATCAACCATGACATTGTTAATGTTAAACAAAAATCACTTTAATTCACCTTCAAGTTTGAATTTGGTAATATTAACTAATTTTTGGGTGATTTTTTTCTCTGTGTATAAATCAAAGTTTCAAACTATCTACAAACTTAAGGAAAATTCAACAAATTTTCATCAAAATAATATTTTTTTTTAATATAAACCTTTAGAACATTTTTTCGACTTAAAAATCGCGTTGATTTCTAATCACTTTTTATATTAATTCAGATTCAGACTAAAAGTTTGAAAGTTTTATGAAAAATTTGCGGAATTTTTCCAAATTTTATATAAAATTTTAAACTTTGATTCACATATATGGGAAATATAACAAAAAAAAATGTACGTGAAAAACATTGTAAATATTAAAAAAAAACACGGCGTCACTTGTTTGAGACACTGTACGTCCAAAAGAAAGGATACACACATACATACTATGTGGTTGTCGAACTCCAATAGGATTTCAGTTCACATCATACACATTTCGAAACAATTTGTCGTGTATTATTTACATGGCAGTTAACGGGTTAAAATATTCTACATGCAAAAATTTCAAACAGAAAATTCAACTGGAAGTTATGCGATCATTTGTGAGTGTGTTATGTCAAAAATCCTGGCTCCTCCCACCCACTCCCGAACGCCCCCTTCTTGACAGGCCTGCATAAGTGGATGTAAAGTAAGAAATAAATAATGTAAATATAAGTTGTCTTAAATATCATTTTTGTGTTCAGAGACCTACATATAGCGAAATTGAGACATTGAGCTCTAAAGAGGCCTTTTGGATTTCTAAAGAGAGTTCTAAACCCACTATGCCAAAATACTCGTACTTTCGTCTTCCTGAATAAATCTAAAAGGGCCTGACCTACTACCGCTCCACAGTTATTACTGCGGCTCTCAATATTGCTCTCGAAGAAGACAAACTGTGACCACAAAATGATTCCGGTCCTAAACCGACAGCATCCCCATTATATTCGAACCCACAGTGGCCTGTTACTCAGCACAATCTCCGCCTTATTGTTTGCTTTGAAAATTAGAAATTTGTTAAAGTAGACTTCAACAATTTTGATTTCTAAATATCATCCTGTTAGACAGACTATCTGAAAACATAACATGGAAATTTAGCGAGGGTTAAGATAGCTAATACTTCAGTCTGGAAAACCGTGGGTCATCTACTCATGGGAATTCGTAACAGGTCCATTTCCAAACCTGGTAACTTCACATGAATACCTGCATGAAGCTTAGTTGTATAGAAGCAGTCATTAAGAGTCGAATCTGCAGTACCTTATAGATTAGGTAAGTTTAGGTTAGAGCGGCTGCCACCGCGCAGAGCACGAAGCCTTAGTAGCTGAACAACCAACTGCGTTTTATAATGCATAAAAAGTCAAGAACTTTCGCCGAGCTCAGGTCGACTAAACGATCAGAAACGTGCTTGTTGAAGAATTGGTTGCGCGTGTTGACCAGGGCGGGACAATGGCAGAGATAATGTTCGATGCTCTCTACCTCCTCCTCGTCTCCGCAGCTGCGGCAAATTCGTGCCCATTAAACAGTGTTCGTTGATCACACCGACTATTAATCTGCGAGAAAACCGGACCAGTACAGTGAGAACAATGGATCACTTTACACCAATCCTTGGCCAAAATTATCTGGTAGTATGGCAGGTGGTTTCCACAGACCTCCTTGATTAGTTCGGCCTTAAGTCAGTGTTTGCAGGACGTTAGAGGTATGCCCGCATTTTGAACAGAATTGCCTTCAGATATTTCCGTCCCCCCTCCTTGTCAGCTCGTCGGCTAAGCAGTTGCCAGAAATGACCCTGTGCATTCTATGGCTACTTTGGACGTTGTTCCGTTAGATTTAAGAGATTTGATAGCAGTCTGGCTGTCATAACGACTGCATAAGACACAACCGGATGGCCGATTGTGCAGTAAGGCCACTCTATCAGAAACCTTTCATTATGAGTATTTTTGATCTTGAAGAATAGTTGTTTAAAGGCTTAAGTTATTCTTCAAAAGTTTTGAATTTTACCATGCGAGTATCCTAAAGGATACCTATGTTTCAAAACGTAATCACTATTTTGCCCATTTAACGCTTGGGTGGGACGTTTCACTTACTACATACTTTTTTTTTTTTGCTTTCCATATTCAAAAAATAAAGATTACTTTCGTAACACCAATTAAAAAAACAACGTTTCTCTGCATAACTTACGAGTATTGTACAGAATTCTGAGTAAAAAAAAAATATGCTGGCAGTATTTACTATATACTTAATCCCTGTTGAGAATTTAAACATAACATCTAAATTTAAGAAGCAAATCGAGGAACAAAACATTTCAAAATAAATGGCGTTAAAACGTTGCGGCTCAAAATGTCGACTTTAGCCAGCAAAGACTAAAGCCAATATTCCAATCGCATTTATTCTCCTACACTGAATAGATGCGATAATTTCGGCATAGAAATTACTTTTCTCAAACTCACACATACATACATACATACATAGAGACGTAGTGAATAGGGGCACATACCCATGTAGGCAAATTCGAAAAAAAATAATAATCTCAGATCCTTTTTGCATCCTGCTGTACTCCTATTGCTTGAAATTGGATTAGATTCTTGTTGCGTGCTTAGTCAAAACTGTTATTTCTACCCAGCTTGACCTAACCACCACAACAGGATTAACTTATACGAGAACACACACAAAGAGAACGAGAGCTTAGCCGAGATTAGAAAACATGAACTGACTCGTGGCTACTCGTTTATGCATAGAAATTTTAATATTCACGCAGCGTTAAATAATAAGAATTTTTTTGGCCAACAGTAAACAATTACCCCACATTTTTCCTCAACTAATTTATTTTCTTCTATTTTTTCCTCCTTCTCTTCCAGATTCTCAACACATTCCACATGTTAGCGGTTGTTTTGCTGCCGACAGCAGCGTGCTCCTTGCCAACGGTCAACGGAAAATGTTGCGTGACTTACGTATCGGCGATCGGGTACTCGCCATGAGCGCTACGGGTCAGCCCGTTTACAGTGAAGTTATACTCTTTATGGATCGAAATCTGGAGCAAATGGAGAATTTTGTACAAATTCACACAGATGGCGGAGCGGCGCTAACTGTGACACCAGCGCACTTGGTATTAGTTTGGCATCCAAATGAACAACGTCTGGAGTATATGTTCGCCGATCGGGTGGAAGAAGACGATTATGTGCTGGTGCATGATCATTATGGCCGCTTGAGTCCGCGACGCGTGCTACGATTGAAGGTAGTGCGCAAGCCGGGTGTAGTGGCGCCTTTGACGCGTGAGGGTACAATTGTCGTAGATTCGGTGACGGCTTCCTGTTATGCAGTGGTGAATAGTCAAAAGTTGGCGCATTGGGGTTTGGCGCCGATGCGTCTAATGGCAGCAGTTAGATCGTGGTTACCTGGATCTAACAGCAGCGACGCTAATGCGACGGCACAAGCAAAGAGTGCGTCCAATTCGACGACGCCAACAACGACGCTGACGAAGGGTATTCATTGGTATGCGCAATTTTTGTATTCAATCAAGGATATTGTGTTGCCGCAGGAGTGGGCATATCAATGACCTGTCCGGTGATTATCTTAAATGAAAGACATATGCCTAGCGTCTACTTCGTCCTGGGTGCGAAGTTTTACGCTAGGTGCAACGTGACACACCCATTCGCTTGATATACATACATATATGTATGTATGTAGTATGTAAAGTGAAATAGCTAGACGACTAAGCGNTGCCCATTCACTTGATATACATATACATATATATGTATGTATGTAGTATGTAAAGTGAAATAGCTAGACGACTAAGCGCCTTATGAATTTTATTGAATGTAATTTGTTGACGCTGAATGCTTATTAGTTTAATGAATTGTTAGTTTCTAAGTAGGAAATCTTTTAATTATATTTTTTAAACTTTTACTGCTTCAACGGAAATGTGTGAATGTAGGCCAGTGTAATTGTTATGTATTTAGAAGAAAAAAAATTTAGAATTCAAATGAGAAATCAAAAATTAATTTTAGTTTTATTTTCGATGTATTTGCGGCTATTTAACTTATTGTGTATGTGTGTGTGTGTGTGTGTGTGTGTGTGCGTGTATAGTAGTAAGAAGCCAAATGAGCAAAAATCCAATGTTTATACATAGTTAGTAGGCATATAATATGTGGTCATAAGCAATAACCGCCTAAGTCGACTTAAGAATGAATTGAGTTATATATCGACTGCTGAGTGGAAGATCGACCTATCTCGGCAGCCAGGTCGAAAACGCCCTACCTCAAAAAACTTTTCAACAACGCCCTATTTCAGAATTTTATTGAAAAACACCCTATCTCAAAATTTGGTTGAAGAACGCCCTATCTCACTTCAAAATATATTGAAAATGTGCTGAAATAGGGCGTTTTTGAATCGGCATCTGGGATAGGGCGTTTTTGAAACGGATTCTGAAATAGGGCGTTCTTGAAAATTTTTTTGAGGTAGGGCGTTTTCGACCTGGCTGCCGAGATAGGTCGATCTTCCACTCAGTAGTCGAAATGCTGTCGTATTCTGCAACTACTGTTCCATGCGTATGCGAAATAGCAACCTCGCCAGCTAGACTATTTAAAAAGTTATAGACGAAAAAATTTTGGTTTCCCCATAAGGCTAACATCACAATCCAAATGGTTAAAACGTTTTTTCTCGAATTAAGATTTTTCGGCTTAGGCGGCTATTGCTTATGACCACAAATATTATTCATATAGATACATCCCTAAAATGCGTGAATTTTTTTCGGAAAATACAAAATGCCAATTGTTGCACATTTTTTATATCTAAATCAGATGTATTTTTGTTTAGTTTACTTATCAAAGTGAAAAATGTAGAGTATTCGCAACATTCAACGTGAACATCTATCTATCAACGATAACACCGCGCGGCAGTAAATTTTACACACAAAAAAAAAATCAATATACTCGCTAACTAAAAAATTCAGTGAAACGTCTAGTAGCCATATGGGTATCAAATAGAAAACAAAATTTCTATTGAATTATGTTTAATTAAATTTTTTGGTACAGAACGAAGAATAAGTATGGAATATGTCCTCTTAAAACTTTGCCCTTGAATGCCAAAGTTATTTTTGAAAAGAAGCACGGACCAATACTTTGTGTGAGCGCCAGTCTATTATTATTATAATTTATTAGTTTTTTTTAATATATCTTAAGAACTAATATGAAGATTGCCACAGTTTGGAATTTCGTCCTTCTAATTTTAATAGTTTTGGAAAAATAAAATAAAGTGAATTGATATTTTCAATACCTATTCCGAAACCTAACCAAAAATTTTTTTTTCAATTCTAGAGAATTTTTTCTTTTTATTTGATACCCATATTGGTATTCTACATTGCACAATACTCTTTAAATAATTCTTTTTACTATATTTCGTGTGTGCATCGATGTTTTCGTGCGTTTCGATCTTTTTTTTTGTCGCGCGGTGTAATAATTTTCCAGTAAGTTCAGCACATTGTGAATAAACCTATCATGTAAAAATATATTTTTAAGCTCATTAAGAAAAATCTGAAGAAATTTGTTTCATTATTTCCGCTGCTTGAAGAAGTTGTACTTTGCCTTTGCTGTAATTTTTTTTAAAGAAATAAATAAGCCGTTTATTTTGAAAGTGGCATAAGTATTATATGCCATTTGACTTTAGTGATCATTTATTTACCTACAGAAGTAACCAACCATTTAAGGACAAGAACTGGAAGTGACTAATGCCACATTTGAAATAAACGGCCAAATATACGAGCACTTTTTTTCTTGAGAGCTGTAAATTAATTTAAGAAATTTTGATGGAAGAAATATTCTTTTCCATTTCTTGCACGTCAGTTTATATGAATTTTTCGTTTTTTTTTCCTGATAACTCTGTACTATGCTTCAATTACAATTCTAATATCCTTTCAGTAATTAATTTGAATAAATTTAGAACAAAATCTTCTAACACACCAGTTGTAGTATAAAATACTCAAATTTCCGATGTTTATTTCCCTTTCGGCTATGGTCATAAAGTCATTTCTACTACATAAGTGTTTACTTTAAGAAACAAATGTAACAAAATCAATTCAACAGAAATTTTCGAAAAACTATTCGTTACCGTTTAATTCGAATATGTATGTATGTATCGCGCTACGAGCCAAGTAATGTAATGCCAAGTGCTTAGGGACTGAATTTTTTTAAGGTAGGTAACTATTTATTTTGTAAACCTATGCAAAAATTCTTTATTAGTTTTAAACATTTCTAAAGTTAACTGTACATATTAGCAACGAGTTCGTTGATAACTTTTAAATGGATTATCACTATTTATGTACATAGTTATCTATGTATTTATATCATATGTATATGTATGTATGTATATTTACAGTTTGTTTTTAATGTATGAAATATTTATAAATTTAACAAAATACAATGAAAATAAATTTTATAACTTAAAATCATATACATATGTATACTTCACCAGTCTTTTTTTAATTTACCTTAGTAAGGAGTTTTTTCCAGTTACATACAGCTTAACCCTGAGCGGGTAATCTTCGTCGATTTGACAAGCACTGTTGCCCTTTTGCTTTGCAAGTATCCTATAAGAAAAGTTTAGACAACAACCTTGTCGGTAGGTATCACAACAAAGAAAATACAAGTAGACTCTAGAGGTAGATGTCGCCTCGCCGGAAGTAGTTAAATATTGCGCCTAAAAATATGCACTACATACGCTACAGCGGGAATGGACAACACGCCATTTCGTTAAATGAAATTAATTGGTGCTCGTATCTACGTACATACATACATATATGCATGTGCGTATGTTGAAAGAGAATATAACCCTTCTATTGTAAGAGATTAACAAAACTCTGCGCATCACTATTCTCATTTCTACTGCGCTTCAAGGCATGCTGCCACGACAAACGAACAAATGGGGTTCGACTCAGGTGTTGAATTTGGTCTCGGCAGCCAGTTCGAAAACGCCCTATCTAAGAAAACTTTGCAAGAACGCCCTACTTCAGAATTTGATTGAAAAACGCCCTATTTCCCATTGCCATCGATATATTGTTTATAAATGAACTATATTTTTATAAATCATATGTCTTGAGTCATATATTTTTGAGAAAAATACACCGTAGTAATTTTAAAAATTCAAAATTACAATTCTCAACTGAAAAAAAAATATTCGAGCTAACTCGACGGAACACGTGTGTTTTTTTAACACTTATTGCGAATTAATCGTATCGCTTTCGACTGAAGCAATTTTTTGATATGAAACGAAATGGCTCTGAAAGCTAATGTATTTGCCTTTCACGGAAAAATAATGCCATTGATATTAATATTATAGATTTTGAGACGAAAAACACGATTCCACTGTTTAAAAAACGAAAAAAAATTCCGCCCTTCAATTTTAAAAATGCAGCTGTGCATCCTTCACACAATTTTTATCCCTCGCACAACAAGCGAGTTTTAGTGCTATTAAAGAGCTTTAATTTAAGCCAAAGTAGAAGTCTCTAGGCCCTTTGAGAGCTAAATTATTACGATTCTCAAGTTAAACTTCGAAATTTCATTCGACATTTTACGCATTTTTTTTTTTTTTTTTTTTTTTNTTTTTTTTTTGTAATATTGGAGTTAAAAACTAGTACAGCAGTTTCGAAGTTTGGTTTAAAACTGTTATAACTTGGCTATTAAATATTCCCAATGTATATAGTGGACCTTTTTATGAATTGTATTCGATTTTTGATCTTCGCTGGCTATCGACGATCGTATGTAAAATTCGCATTAAAATTTTCTGTCGAACAAAAAATGTATCTTAAACAATTTTTATAAACTTCATGGTTTCACTTATGGAAGAAAATCCCAATGCTCAGTTGGTACAATCATTGAGTGCAAGATCGCAGAACGATTGATAGTTACAAAATATTTTAAATAGATTTGGCTCATGTGCATTGCCACAAACGCCCCTTTAGAGTTTTTTTATAAATCTGTACACAAATTTCTTTAATAATATGTTGTAAAAATATATTCGCAGAGATACACTTATTTGCTCAAGGGTCACAGATTTTCTCTTTTCACGTCCGACGTTAGTTGTGTTTTTTTACAAATTATCCAGTAACTTGCCAGTAACTCTCCAGTAACTTTATTTCTAAGAATTCGCTCTCATAGAAAAAATTTGCAAAAAAGTACGCGAACGCTTTTCCAGTAATAATTTGCAAGTTTCATGAACAGCTGATAAATTGGTTGTTTATTCGCAGCATATTCCCAATAAAACGATATATTTTATATTTAAATATGTTTGTTTTGAAAATTCCCACAATAAAAATCCACAAACAGTTTCCTTATTAGTTTAAATTTCATACAGCAACATGCGATCAGCTGTTTTTCGTACTGGCAAATTCTTACAAGTAAAAATTTATCCAGTAAAATCCAGTAAAAACTTGCAACTGCAGCTGTCATTTTTCGCTCTCTCAATTTCCCCTACTTTGCAAGTTTTTGCGTACGAAAACGCCAAAACATGAAAATTCGTAAAAACTTTTACTGGATTTTACTGGAAATGAGTAAAAAAACGCAACTTATGTCTGAAGAAAATTGCAATTTAATGAGTGTACCTACTTTTTTCAGATTTCAAAAACCTGAAATTGCCTATATCTCACAAATGTTTCTACTTTCTTATATTCTGATTGCGTAATCGGATTCAAAGGAAAATCTTACATTAAAATTCATATGA